AAATATCTCAAAGTAACTTAATATTTTAGCCTAAATTATGCTACTCTTATCCACCGTACTTCACCGACCTCGCTCCTTCGGACTACTACTTGCTACGGCTTTTGCAACCGTGTACAAAAGTTTCAAAGTACATTGAAGACAAAATGCAACTAATTACGGGTTGTGCTATATTAACAGTCGTTTAAATAAATACCAAGGTTATAGACACATGTTACATCCGATGTAGACGTCTTCAAAATTTAATTTTTTAGATTTTTGTTGATTTACGGTTCTATTTTCCTAAAAGTCAAATTTTTCGTTTGTACGTTTATCCTAACCCCCATATGTCCTGGAATGACTGCCCTGGAAGAAAAAAAGTGTCTGAATTATTCGAACTGATGACTGAAATCCACATGACGTCAACGATAAGCTGGGCCACGGGAAGATACTTGGCCATTCTCGTTCCATTTATTCTAGACGGTTTCTAACGTAAACCGCAGAACGACCCTCGAAAACCCTCAGTACAATTTTCACTCCTAGCTCTAATTTAGTGCAGAATAAACAGAAATATCGACCAAAGTAGAAAAAGACCAGGTTGTTTTTATTCCACTTGGTATCTATTACACGATTCAAGGTTTCGTATCAAATTTGGATATAAAATCCTTTCTTACCTTTATCGGTCTATTTATTTCCATTGTTAATAAACAATTTACAAAGTCCTTGTAGTATTTTTTATCGCTACAGCATTCCTTAATAACTGCATTATATTTTTTATTTAATTTTTTTTCCTGCATGTTTGTCTAATTGTCAGAACCCAGGCAATTCTTTTAATTTTGCCTCGGGGTCAAGACAATAATCACTGGTATTTTTCTTAAAGTCTTTGCCTCGGGAAACTCAACGGACTTGATAATCCTGAATTGACACGGTCTGTATTTAGTTGCATTCTTTGGCTCCATATAGAGAGCGTGTAGGAACGCCAACCAATATGAAAATCGTGCTTGAAGACAGCAGTGTGAATTTGGGTCCCCTATTCCGGTTTTAGGATAGAATAGACTCGATGTGTTTCACATAATCGAAATTTGCCATTTATTGGCTCCATATAGAGAGCGTGTAGGGTGTCATTCGTCGGTTCTGTACAGAAAGCGTGTAGTAACGCCAATTTATGAGTTGTGTGAATTGCTATTCGATATGACAATTGCGCTAGAGCAGTGAAGCGGGTATTTGAGTCTCCCGTTCCGGTTGTAGAAAGGAACTGTCTCAATGTGTTGCATATAATTGAAAGGTGCTATTCCTTGGCTCCATATAGAGAGCGCGTATGAACGCCAAACAATATGAAGATTGTGCTGGAGGACAGAAGCCTGAATTTGGTTCCCCTATTCCGGTTTTATGGATAGTACAGGCTAGATGAGTTTCACATAATTGAAAGGTGCCATCCCTTGGCTCTAGAAATGCCACCCGTTATGCGGATTATTCTTAAACAAGGCGAATATTTGGGTCCCCTGTTCCGGTTTTAGGATATGATAGACTCGATGTGTTTAACATAATTGAAATTTGTCATTTATTGGCTCCATATAAAGAAACTGTAGGAATGCAAACCAATACGAATGTTGAGTTGGAGAACAGCAGCGTGTATTTGAGTACCGTTTTCCGGGTTTTGGATGGAACAGGCCCGGTGTGTTTCACATAATTGAAAGGTGTAATTCTTAGGCTACATACAGAGAGCGTGTAGGAACGCAATCGGGTATGAGAACAGAGCAGCACGTGTTTAGGTATATAGTAGTTGATAGATTATAGTTTTGCGTCCCTTTTTGAAAGTGAATATAATTATTAGCGTGTGTAGTATAAGAGGGCCGATGGCGGAATATACCCAACTTAATTAGGTTAGTTGTATAATAGATGTGAAGGGAAATGGAGGAATATCAAGAAGCCACCATCCTAATTGGTTAAATGGTATGCAAATAGGAATTGAACATTGGGCTTCAAGTACAGCATGCGAAATTCACAAACACCAATTTTCTCCTTTGAATTGACATAGCTGTGTAGTAAAATAACGTAAGCAAGAGTGATAACAAAAAAAATTATAAAATTTTTTTTAATGAGATTTCATCCTGTTGTCTGCAGGGTGATAGAAAAGGCATAATAATAGCAGAGGTTTGCCAAAATTAATTTTCCAATTCCATGATGGATTCAGGACCTAACTTAACCTTAATCCTAACCCAAAACATTCATAACTTAACCTGTATCTCTACCTTAAGACTAACTAAACCTGACCTAACCCGTCTCTATCCCTGAAACTAATCAAGCATGACCAGTCTCTACCTCTATGACTACCCAATTCTACCTTAATCCTAACCCAAAATCTACATAACCTAACCCTACTAAAAGGTGGGGTCCTAGGATCATGTGTAATTCTCTCTTTAATTTATGGCTTCAAGACTTGGTCTCTTACTAACAAGTACAACAGTCAATCAACAAGCACAAGATAAAAGTGACACAAGTTTCAAAGAATTTCGGTGAATGGGTAAAATGAGGAGTGAAAAACAGGCAGGAGTCTCAGGTCCAGGGTGTGGAAAAGCTTATCAAAAACCTAACTTAACATTAACCAATCCTAAGCCAAAACCAGTATAACTAACTTAACCTAATATGAACTAACCTAACCTACATAACTTAACCCTCCAAAAAAGGAAGATTCCTAGAATCATATGTAATTCCATCTAATTTATAGCTTCCAGGCTTGTACTCTTACTAACAAGTCCGTGCACAAGATAAAAGTGACACAAGTTTCAAAGGATTTCAGAGAAAGTATAAAATGAGTAGTGAAAAAATCTGTAAGAGAATCAAGTCCTTAAATTGAAAACCTAACGTAACATTAACCAACTTAACTAACCTAACTTAACCTAATCCTAACTAACCAAAAATTACCCAAACCTAACCTTAATACTAACTCAAAACTTACATAACCTAACCCAATCTAAAAGGAAGACTCCTAGAATCATGTGTAATTCCATCTCTAATTTATGGCTTCCTGGCTTGGTCTTTCACTAGCAAATTCACTAACAAACGTCTGACAGGAGTCTCAAACCAAGATGTGAAAAAGCTTATCAAAAAACCTAGCACTAACTAAAGCTAATCTTAATCCTAACCCAAAACATGCATAACCTAATATAATCCATCCCTTCACCTAATAACCGCCAAACTTATTCTTAATCCTAATCCTAAAGCGCACTCTTCGGTAACATGAAAATGGTTATGCAAAAGAAAATTTATGTATCCAGTCCAAAAACATATCTCTATTAATACAAAAATAGAATTGGACCAGTCATGTGATCAGAAAGACTGATGGAAGATGACCAAACTATTCACCATGTGAACATCAATTTTGAATCACTACCTCCAGATATTTTGTCAACCAAGGATACAATAGGGAAAAATTATGGATACTGGCACTCAGGGGAAACCTCCAATTTTTCTCCTCCAAAAAAACTCCAGTAATTTTTTGAATGGATTTTTTATGGCAATACTAAACATGTATATTGACTTATTATTATTAGGGCTTGATGGGGGGGGGACAGCTATAGAATATCTTGATTGGCCGAATTATTTACCCTGGGAGAGTGAATCAACTAAAACCCCAACTCTAATCCAATTAATCGCAACATTTTATTGAACTCTATGAGATTATTAATAGGTGCCTGTAAAGAAGAAATCCCATTTTGTTACATATAAAATCACTGAAAATACATCTCAGCCGTTAACTACTATTTTTTCCATGAAAAACATTTTTTCATAATTCATTGCTTGGTACGTCTAGGTGTGTTAGAGGCCACTATCATCACATCGGTGATGACACAACTGCTAATGTTCTACAATTCAACCAACCAACACACTATGTGATATTTTGTAAAACATTTCTCAACGTATCATTTTATTTGGCATTAAGAACGATGATGACTGAAATTTGTGAAATGCCGGAACAATCTGACCGAATCCATGCTAAAAGAGAAATACAAATAGTAATCACAGTTATTTGGACTAGATTTTTTTTCATCAAAATTTCCCTCTAATCCACAAAATGATCAGAATTTACTGAGCAGAATCTAGTTTAATAAGCAAGTAATGAGGCAAAGGTTCTCTAAAAATGTCTAAACTGGGACAAGACAAACTCAGAGTTAACTCACAAATAGGGAAGGATATAAACATCAAAACTATCTATAAAAATCTTTCTAGAGTTAAAAGGAAGTTTTTTTAAATGTTGTTTTAAATTTATAAGCAGTTAAGAACTCAGAGATTTTGGCAGATAGTAAATTTTCAAAGCTTCTTTCCTGTAATACGATCCCATCGAACCAAAGAGTTATTCTTAATCCATGATAGATCTACGTTTTGGGCAGTTTGGTATGCCGCAAAAAAGGGTTCATTGAAGGCCTGATTGAACGTTTGGCAAATTTATCAGCTTCTTCGTCTCCCCTCTGCCCTGTGTGGCATGGTGCCCAAACAAGTATAATTTTGATATTATCCCTAATGTCCAACAGGTGATGCAATCCCAATCCTTTTTCGTAAACTTTTCATCTATCTTTCTTACAGACAGTTTCTTCTTTTCCATACTGTACCGTACATTCATATGGAAAGAGGCATTTGTTTTGCTTAGGAACTTTGTAGAGTTTTTAGTTGAAAATAAGTTCTTTTTTTAATAAAAGCTTTAGGATAAAATAAGAATCTCTTTGGTGGTGCCGTAGGATGCATTTTTTTTTCTAATTTGCAGTCTTTCCTTCCATTATGGGGCTGCGTTCTTTCACCACAGCACAAGGCAAATGTAATCCAAAAAGTTCATTATTAAAGTTCAATCAGAATATTGTACTCTGACTTTTCCATGTTCCCTGATATTTGACAAAATAAAAAATATCAACATAACCTTTTTTTCTGACAGTTAAATGTTACATTGTTGTGATCTTTTAAGCGTGTTCTTTTAAGAGAAAAAATATCTTTTATTATTCTGAGTTAACAGTTTTATGTCTTATTTCTAGGTTATTCATGATGTTCATATAGAGCCAGCTCATATAATGAAGAAAAGGAGTATAGACCAACCACTCCGAGTTTTCCTATATTGTGATGAAAGTGTATATAAGTATGTTGTTAATTAATAATCATCATGAGTTACATTAATAAATTAATTTTATATTCAGGTTAGAAAAAGAGAAGTTCCTACTAATCAATGTAAGTTTTTCTCTCTATATAGCTATTCCTACTTTTGATTGTTTTTCTGTATTATTCCCTTCTGTTATAGAACACAATATTACCAAAAGCAGTGCGGTTCTGGGAAATGGCGCTTATGGTAAGAAAAACTGAAAAAGTCATCCGTTTAAACAGGTCAGTGAAATGATACACAAATTATGCCGTGCTTTTTTCTTATTATATTTTATTTATCTTGTGGTTTTGTTTTAGAAAATGTGTAAATAATCAGGTTTTCTACCATAAAAAAGAACCTTATTCGTACTGTAAAAATGCTTGTGAAAATAAGACTTTGTGCGGAGAAGTAACAGTACCTGAAGAACATTTAGATGTGAGTACCAAAAATAAATTTTATTATTTATTTCCAATGGTGCACAGCTGTCTAAATCTGGAACAGTATTTTGAATCAAATCCATTAAAGTTTGCACAAAATCCTAACAAACCGAAAATACGACCAAATCACACTTATGGTTTATGAGGTGTAATAAATACTCATCCATTGTGTGTAATTCAACAACAAACTTTCACTAGAACGGTAGACATTAAAAACAAAATTACCCAAATTAATTAAATTCGCTGTCCAATTTAAAAGCAAAAGGGTCCAGTCGAAATTAAAAAAGGTTAATTTGAAGTTACATATAAAAAGTTAATTTCAAGTTAAAGATAAAAAAAAGGTTAATTTGACAGAAAATGGGTTAATTTGTTGAAAAGAGGTATAATTTGAAGGGAAAATGATTAATTAGGACAAAAAAAGGATTAATTTCAAGGGGAAAATTAATTAATTTGACAGAATAAAGCTATAGAAAATGCAGAAAACTATAATCACAGAAGAAGCATTATTATAATAAATAATCAGAACAGATTAACCCTTCGATTAAGATAGAAGTTGAAAAAGTTCCAGTGAAAGTCATCAAAAAGCACAAAGTTCGTTTTTTCCTGGCTTAATACTTTACTATAATAATACTTTTAATTACTTTACTATAATAACTTAATACTATACTTTTAAAATATATTATTTTATTATCAGAAAGCTTCAGTAGAAACCACAACTGGATCTTTTCTATTTCTAATGATATTACATAAGCTTGATCAAAGAAAACCATTTAAATTTAAACAAATCATGTTCTTCGAGAATTGATATAGCCATTCTATCTTAACGATATTTAATGAACTGTAAAATTTCTCTGTGGGATAAACCTGAAATAGTTACTGATCATTTTGCTCTGCCTATCACATTGGGTCATCGGCTACAAGCAGGGAGAGGCAAAACTTTTTCGTAAAGTTTTTTAAAAAGAATTGGACAGACCCACTGAAGTTGACAAAATGCCGAGAAACTTATCTGACAGATCAATCCAGTGAGGATAGGCAGACCAAAATGTTTTAATTTTCATATAGAATTAGCTCGTCTTCAGAACAAAAATTTTAAACTTATATTCTGAAACACAATCGACGAACTATTTTAAACTTTTATTATAGTTTATAATGTGTTAATAAGGTATGTTTTACAAAGAGCTCTCTCTATTAAATAATCATGAAATTTTCAAACTTTATGTTTATTGTCATTTAAAATTATTTATTTAAATTATATTTTTATGGATTTCAAGGTTTGTAGAACATGCAATGCCTCAGGATTGAGTTGTATGGAACATGGCACACCTGGGAAAGGTATTACAGGAGCCGATTTTGTATTTTACGTAAGTGCCATGCCAACCGAGCGGTGCAAGAAAGGGCTCACGGTTGCATATGCAGCTCATTGTCAACAAGAGGCAGTACTAGACCGGCCTATTGCCGGCCACGGGAATTTTTGCCCCAACAGCATCAGCACGAACCCTCAAGAGCTCGATATACTCTTATCAACGGTGAAACACGAAATCCTTCACGCTCTCGGCTTCTCGATCAGCCTATTCGCATTTTTTCGAGACGCCGAGGGAAACCCGCTTACTCCAAGAGAAGAAAATGGAAAACCTATGCAAAACACAAAGTTAGTACACTAAAATCATTAAAGACAAAATCAAAGCTTTTTTTTACATCGGTTTGTTAAGCAAAGCATACACAATGAATACAATAAAATTAATGTTTCTTGTAAATAATCCTCAGACACCATGGACAAAAAGGGAGAAAAAAATTGTCCTGGGGAGTGAATAGACTAATTTCAGCCAGTTCTAATAGTCTCAAGGCAAAATTATTCTTTCAAAAAAGCTTTCTACCCAGTCTACTATAAGTTAGTTTCTGGCTGTAGAAGCCAGCTTTGATGAATAGGAAAATGTTTTATTTCAACAAGACAATGCCTATCCATCCTGACTAACATAAAAAGCAAAAACTTTCCAAAATGGTCGGTATCTTATTTCTACTGTATACATAATCCTGACCTTGCTTCTTCAGACTACTAGCTTAACCAATTGCATTTTTTGATGATTTTTTGTTTTTTTTTTTTTTTTTTTTTTTTTTTTTTTTTTTTTTTTAATATTAAATAAATGAAATAAAAAAAGGACATCTAAAAATTAGTAAGAAAACATGTTTGTTTAGGCTGCAAGCTCGCCAGTGGAGTGATAAAGTTATCAAAACGGTAAATTTAAAAGAATGGAATATTCACGGCGGGGCTATTGAACGCCAGGTTCAAATGATGGTAACTCCAAGGGTCGTAAAAGAGGTTAGAGAACACTTCAATTGCTCAACATTAGAAGGTGCAGAATTAGAAGACCAAGGTGGGGAAGGAACCGTTCTAACACATTGGGAAAAGCGTGTTTTTGAGGTTTGTAAATTAACTGTCACACTTATTAATAGGTTTAGTTACAACTATAATTAACACATGTCAACTTTTTTAGTTGAAGCACTAGAGGTATTGAAGCTGATAGCTATTAAACTCTCAATTCAAGCTTAAAAAAATACTAAATTTTTGTTATAGAATGAAGCAATGACAGGCACACATACTCAGAATCCTGTATATTCTATGCTTACTCTAGCATTAATGGAAGATACAGGTTGGTACATGGCTAATTACTCGATGGCTCAGCCGTTACGCTGGGGAAAAAATTTAGGATGCGATTTTGTGACAAAGTCATGCAAACATTGGATCGACACTAAAAGAGAAGAGTGAGTAATAAAAAATTTATTAATTTTATTGTAATTTTAATTGAGTCGTTCATTAGGGGCATTTCGATCCATCCTTTTTGTGATAAAGTAAAAGCAGATCCTCTGAAAACCGAATGCACATCTGATAGGACTTCAGTGGCTCTTTGTAACCTTGTGCAATACGAAAAAGAATTACCTCCAAATTACCAAGTGAGTATTTATTTTTAACCGAGTTATTGTAATGTGGATTGTTAAGTATCTAACAGAATTTTGCATTCTGATTTGTAAAAAAAATTTTTTCTGTAGAATTTCGACTTTATACCAAATGTGACAAAAGGACGAGAAGGATATTACGGTGGCGTTGTGAGTCTTGCTGATTATTGCCCGTATATACAAGAATTCTCATGGCGTGCTCAAAACATTGTAGTTCGAGGATCTCGCTGCCAATACCCTGAAAATAATCCACGTAAGACTTATATAGCACCTTATTTGATTAAAACAAGTTTAATTTTTGAAAAAGGGGCAGCGGCTGCAACAGTTAAGGCATTGACACAGTGCTTGCTCATCATTGAGAGGTAAAAGTCTCGGGTTTGAATCCAGCAGCCCTGCATCCAAATACGACAATATGATTTAGATTTTTTTTCTCCCCCAACTACACCAACACCCAAGGAGTTGTTTTGAGGGTTTGTATAAATGTGATGTTGAAATACCCTCGTTTAAAAAAAAAAAAAAAAAAAAATTAAAAGAAGGATACTTTAATTTTTCCCTTTTTTAAAGCAATAAAAACAAAACTTAAGAGATGTTAGAATGGGTTAATTGTAAATTTAAAAAGGTTAATTTGAAGTTAAAAAGGGTAAATTGGAATTCAAAAAATGTTAATTTGAGGTTAAAAATGGTTATTAGGAATTAAAAAATGTTCATTTGAAGTTAAAAAGAGTACATTTGAAGTCAAATAACAAAACATTAATTTGAAGTTAAAAAGTGTTGATTTGACGGGAAAAGGGTTAATTTGAAATTAATAAGTGTTAATTTGATAGAAAAAGGGTTAATTTGACAGTTGATTAAGAAAAAATTATGTAAATTTATCAATTTACCCTATTAATTTTGGTTATCGAGGAGGATAAACAAAAATTAAGTAAAGCTAAGCTTAACGTTCAACTACCCACCCATTGGATGTCATGGATGAGGGGTCAAACCAATACTTGTTTAGTACTACTCTCAACTGAAAAAAACATGGGCAGTGCCGAACCAGGATTGCTTGCGTGGGCTGGACACCCTAACCACTCGGCCATCATCCCTTATGAAATATGGATATTACCCGAATAAAATAAAACATCATATAAGAAATATCTAGTGGAATTAAATTTATATTAGCACATTTTTATGCGCCTGACTTTAAGGGGAGCCAAAATATTCCGACCAACGGACGGCAGACCTGCAGACATAATTGTAAAAAATTTAACAATTTTCCCTTCCCAGAGGGTGAAAATTGAAATTCCAGCCTGCATTGAACGTGATAACGATCATGATAATTCCAATGACTGTTTTTGTCAGCAGTTTGATTGACCACAATTGTTTAACACTGCAAGGATAGGTGAACGAGGTTGATCAGACTTGCAGACGATCCAACAAAACTGCACAATTCTATTTCCCTTTAATGTAAGGGTCGCTCTTATATCATTTCAAATGTCATTTTCAGACCCAGACAAAAATTTCGCCTTGGAAGAATATGGCGAAGATTCACGCTGTTTCGACCATACCAACGAGATGTGGGAGGAGAAATCATGTAAACAATCAAAACAGTGGCAATATTGGGGATCAGGTTGCTATAGATTTACATGCGATGAAGGATTGCTTCAAATAATAGTGGGTATTTTCTGTAATACGCTTACATTACTTTTTAAAAAAAATTGTTTTTTCCATCTTGTTTGTCTTTCTTACGGTAAAATACAGTTCTTACGGTTCATTATTTTATAATTTGTTTGTGTGTTATGAGGATAAGCCACAGCTGGACCAGAACAATGATCTATTAACCTAGAAGAATTATTTTATGGACATATTAAGTTTACTGTCACAGCCATGTGTCATTATTATTATTATTATTATATTCCAACATATAACATTCTCAAAGAAAATTGCTTTTGCAAATATTTTGTCTTGACCTTCGCAAAACTATTTGTAATTATTATTACACTCCTTAAACTGATAATTGAACATAAATAAATTTCAGGTCCACAATGTTACTTACACCTGTTATTATTCTGGTCAAACTATCAATGTTCAATTAATTGTAAATGGCTCACTTCACAAGGGTGCTATAGTATGTCCTCCATGCCAAGAACTTTGCAATGTAAGTAGGATATTTGTAATTTCGTTTATATTCCTTAAAACATTTTTGCCTAATGAAAAACCCAGTTGAAACTCAAATCCTTTTTTTCTTCCTAGTACTTACTACACACCTGACCATTCCTTCCATGTAATAATGAACCTCAACCTCTTCAATATTTTCTATCCCCCTTGGTGTTCCTTAAGGGAGCATCATAAGTCTGTTATTTTTTTCTAATATATACTTGTTGATTAGCGATATTAAAACAATAACAAATGAAAAAACGGACTTTTCAGGTTTCCTGGTATACATTTATTGAGATTATTTGGTTTTAAATCTCTAATATGTTTTTTTTTTTGTATTTTTAGTCCACTTGCATAACTCCTGGCAAAATTATCGAGCGTCCCGTTGAAACGAAGCATCAACTTATTTGTGGTTCGCCTTCCTTAATGTTGTCATGGATAATTATTTTACTATCATTAGCTATTTATATAATATAAATAAAAAATTATATTTAATAATAAAAAGATAAGGATTTAATGCAGTGTTCAGGATGAAAAGTCCTAGATATTTTAAATAATAGAGAGAAACATTAAAAAAAATACCATGACCAAATTTGTGATATTTATCAATAAGTAAATATAAATTATTTTTGTACAGTTATAGAAGTTTTTAATTATGTGACTAATTAAAATTCGTCACAGGTTCTTTGTATCTAAAATATGCTATGATGTTTAATTGTATATTATTGTAACATAATTAGAGATTTATTCAGTTACATTCCATAATTTATGTTTTTATATCCTAAAATAAAAATAAATGACTGATCTATTGTCACATAAAACTAATTCTAACCACCTTATTTATCCTTTAGCTTTAATTACACTTTCTGCATAGTTTTTTTTTTTTTTTTTTGCATTTTGAACTCTGAACTTTTTATATGTTAATATCAATTTAATTTCCCATATGAGTTTGTATTTCAGGCAAAATTCTTAATAAATTGTTTGGCTTAAATCCAATATAAAAAAAAGACTTTGGTTCACCTTCGATCAAATCGTGACTTAATCATTTGTCATTAACCATTTATAAATTGTAAATAATTTTTTGTAATTAATAGAATATAATGATTTATGCAGTGTTCAGTGTAAAAAAAATTAATTGTCCTAGGTGTTTAAGTAAAAAAAAGCATACCATGACCAAATATGTGATATTTGTCAATAAGTGAATATAAATTATTTTTCTATAGTTATAGAATATTTCAATTCTGTGACTGTTTAATAGATCATCACGATTGAAATTGAAACTCACCATACTATTTATTGTACGAAAATATTCAAACGCTTTCAATTGCATTCCAAGTTTTGTTATTTATTATGTAATCAGTATTTTTGTTTTTTCTTTTATTTCATAATTATGACAATGGATTTATATTTATTTTAATGGCTGTTTTTAAGTTGAGATTGTTGCTGATTTGATACTTTTGTTGGTATTATTGCAAATATAAGATTCATTTACAGAAGGCACCTGTATAATTAATTTCTTCAAATCCCTTCTTTAAAATAAAAATGTAAAAAAATAAAATAAAATAAAAACTGATTCATAACAATGAAGAAGGGTTCAGTGACGATTTCATTTATTGACCGGTAGGTCATTTTTCTAAATAATTTCCATTGCAGGCACATTTAATTGAAGTTTATAAATATATTCCTCACATTATATAAAAATAAGTTTAATTTGTTGTGAGAGGAACGTTCGTAACTGCAACAGTCTTGGGATCAAAAAGAGATGCTACAAACCCAACATACAACTTAATGGGCTTTTTTCAAAAACACTGACACCCCTGAGAGTTGACATAACTTCTGCTGTTGCATTGAACATAATAACTGAATTATCCAGGTGTCAACTGTATTGATGTTTTATATTTAATAGTTAAACCGCTGTTTCCAACTTTGATTCAAAATTGTTGTAATAAACAGGTTACCCCGAGAGTTAACATATTGTTATAATTTGTTATAAATTAATTAATTATTAATTGTGCTTTACTTGTACAAAATATATTTAAAAAATTCTTCAATATTTAGAAAGAGGAAAAATAAAACCTTGGCTGTTATAATGTCCATAATGAGAGATGTTCTATCACTCTACTAGAGTCAAAATTGTAAATACACATCACAAAAAAAATTAATAATTTTAAAGTAGCCCACCAATATTTTTTTTTTCTGTCATTACAAATCCATAATTTAAATAACTTAAATGTGTGTAAATATAACTGTATGCCTGTGCACAATTATTAATATATGTATATTTGATTACAGTCCTTTATAAAATATATATTTAAAGAATATAAATAAATATCAGGTGCATGATGTTATTTGACACCTGATAACTCGTACCATACTATTTTTAATTATTTACAAATCCCCGTCCCATTTGAAAGAGAACTAGATTTGGACAAGAAAACTACTATGAGCATCACTGATTATACATATCGCTAAGCGATAAGAGACATTAAGCAATGGTAAGGTTTAAAAATACAACAAACCATATATATAAATTAAGTCAACTTCGCTGGTTGATTCCTTTTTAAAAACTTTATTTGCGAAATACAGTTGACAAAGAATAATTAAGTTTACCAATTACAATGATGTGACTTCACTGGTTTCTAGGCAAGGAATGTTCTTACATTTTAAATTATAAACAATTACGTTTCCCTGGTGGGAGAGAGTGCTGATTGCAATTCTGAGAATGCCACCTGCATCTTAGCATTGCAATCTGATAATATCCGATAACTTATATATATGTGTGTGCGTGTGTGTGCATGTGCGTGCGTGCGATATATATATAAGGGCAAAACCATTGCGACAAATTGAATAGTTTCAGATTTCCTACTATGTGCGGTAATAAACCAATGGCAAAATGCCGAATCATGTCTGACTGACAAAAATCAGTGAGAGTAGGCAGACCTAGATGATAGGTATCTATCGAACTGTAGAATTGAATGGTCGATTGTCGAGGATCCATGAGGCTATGGAAAGGATACTCTGGAAGTGGAAGCTAGCATTATCGTAAATAACTTCATCCCCTGAGTTACAATTGTGGCTGACTTGCCTTTTTTGTTTGTTTCTTTTCATTTGTTTATTCCAGTATTAAGTCGACCCAGTGTAAAAATATATGTATTCATTCGACTTAATTACCGCACATAGTAGGAAATCTGAAACTATTCAATTCGTCGCAATGGCTTTGCCCTTGCTGGATGAATCCCCAATCGGTTTCCCAAGAAGGATCGAGGAGGAAAAGAAAAGGGAAATCCTTTGGGTCAGATGGTCATCTCCCTTCTGTCAATGGTTGGTCTCATAATTCTAAGGAGCTAACATTATGTAGCCCCACGTCCTTTGTCCTCCGTCCACGACAGGTGACAACCTCTCACAATAATTAATTTTTTGTCTTTGGTTATTTATTGAAGTCTATTCGCCTCTAGCGATTCTATGCTCTTCAGGTTTTAAGGAATTATTGATCTGTTCCCTGCTGAGAGAGCCATTCATCAGATTTACATCCTCATAAGAAAAATATGTTCCAAATTCTCTTCTTACACATTTCAACATTTTATATGACTCTCACAGCAAACCATCACCTACTTCGGGTTTCGGCAGTTCAGGGTCAGAATCACCCTTTACTCATGGTAACTAACCTGAGAGTTATGGGATACTCAATTTACAGCGTGGAAGAAGTATCAGATCACTTCCCAGGGGTAGAACGTATGGAATACAATGCCGAGATCTTAAAGGAGCTGAGCAAAAATGGCCAACTGCTCAGAAGAGCAATAAGTTTAATTTTGCCAACAAAGTTAATAATGAGCAATTAGCACGTTTTGCCACTACAAATCTCCAGGAGAATAATAGAGAATAAGGGAGAGTGTATGAGTGAAAGTGATTGATTGTGTGGGTGAGTAAGAGAGAGAGAGAAAGAGGTTTAACGTTTTGTGTATGCAACACAATTTTTTATTTATTTATTTTGTAAGATATGTATACATTTTTTAACACTTTCTATAATCCGAATATCCCCCCCCCTTGCAGCAATTAGTTTGGATTGTTGAATGTATTTTCTGGCGTGAATGTGGAATCAGGTGAAATCAGTAGGAAGTAAGCAATTGTAAAACCACTAAATAAAATTCCTAGTGCTACCTCCCCTAATGATTTCCGTCCAATATCTTACTCTCAAACCTAGCTAAACCCTTTGAAAAATTAGTCCATTTACAAATGTCTTCTTATTTAGAAACCTCAAATATCCTTGTCCCCTCTAATCTGGTTTTCATCCTGACTTTGCTGTACAATCCGCTGTCCTAAAAATCTCGACTGACATACAGAAGGCCATTGACCAACTTAAAATTACAATTATTGTTCTACTGGACTTCTTTAATGCATTTGATACAGTAGATCATTCCTTTTTTGCTAAACTCAAAACGTTATTCTTTTCCCGCAGTGTCCTCAATTGATTCCAACCTTTCTTTCAGGTCATTTCCTAGAAGTAATCATCCCAAATAACCCCCATCCTCTCCCTAATTTGAAGTCCCTCAATGGTCAAGTATCTCTGCTTCTCTTTTTTGTTGCTATATTAACTGCTGTCCTAATACCGTAAAATAATGCTCCCACCATCTTAATGTAGTCGACCCTCAAATTTACCTTTCTTGTCCACTTACTGACTTACAAGCTGCAATTGTAAAAATTCAGGAGGACATAAATTCAACTAGCTCCTGCATCACTAAAAATTGCCTTAAACATAATGAAGAAAGGCCTCATGCCATTGCGTTTGGAACTTTGGATGTCATTACCTCCTCCAATCCTTATCTTTTATCCCATTGTTTACCATTAACAATCACCCTATTTCTTTCTGTCCCATTGTCAAGAACCTCGGGATTGTACTTGACCAGAACTTATCTTGGAAACCTCACATTTCCCAGATTTCCCACCTTTGCTTTTCCACCCTCCATCAGCCAGCCACCTTTTCCCCATTAGTACTCGCAAACTCCTAGTTTCCTCTCTTATTCTTCCTCACTTTGACTATGGATGTGTGATGTTCGGGAGACTCACTGGAGAGCTGGATGATAGAATTAAGCACTTAATAAATTTTTTTGTATACTTTATTTGTGGCTCCCCAAAGAGGTAGGTCCCACCTGACAGATATGTACTTTAGCTTGAAGTGGTTATACCCACCATAGGCTATATTTCCTTGGTTCCTTCCTTTACCACACAATATCTTTCCACTTCTCTCCTTATATATGTGATTTCCTAACCTTTAGGACTTCAATACACGTCATACTCATTCTCGCTCTTCTGATCTCTCTTCTCCTAAACACAGAACTACTGCTTTCAGTTGTTTCTTCCTCATCTGTTCATCCACCCTCTGTTATTCCCTTTCTCACTCTATCCGCCAAGCTCATTCCCTTCCCACCTCATCTTGAAGGAATGAATGAACGATTTATTTATTGATCACACAAGATTTAGTCTCTAGAGTGAGAGAGGGACTGATTGATGCTACATTTAAAGTCGCAGTGAGTGAGAAAAACAGAGAGTGGGAGGGTAGGAGGGAGAGAGAGTGAAAGAGAGTGAGTGACATAAGAATGAATGAACGATTTATTTATTGATCAAACAAGATTTGCTCCAAAGAGAGAGAGAGAGAGAGAGACAGAGAGAGAGAGAGAGAGAGTGAGAGCGAGAGAGAGAGAGTGAGAGCGAGAGAGAGAGAGAGTGAGAGCGAGAGTGAGAGAGAGAGAGAGAGTGGGAGAGAGAGAGAGAGAGCGAGTGAGAGAGAGAGAGAGCGAGTGAGAGAGAGTGAGTGAGAGGGAGGGAGAGAGAGAGTGAGAGGGAGGGAGAGAGTGTGAATGAATGAGATTAAGAATGAATGAATGAACAATTTATTTATTGATTGGTTGATAGATTGCTCTCAAGAGTGAGCAAAATTAATCTTAATTTTGATTAAGATTTTATTTATAGTCGCAGTGAGTGAGAGAGTGAGAGATTGAGAGAGAGAGAGAGAGAGAGAGAGAGAGAGAGAGAGAGAGTGAGAGGAGTGAGTGAGTGAGAGAAAGCGTGATGGCGGGAAAGAGGGAGGGAGTGAGAGAGATTGGGAGAGATGGAGAGTGAGTTAGTGAGAGTAAGAATGAATGAATGACGAATGAGAGAGAGAGAGAGAGAGTGAGAGGAGTGAGTGAGAGAAAGCGTGATGGCGGGAAAGAGAGAGGGAGTGAGAGAGATGGAGAGTGAGTTAGTGAGAGTAAGAATGAATGAATGACGAATGAGAGAGAGAGAGGGTGAGAGGAGTGAGAGAAAGCGTGATGGCGGGAAAGAGGGAGGGAGTGAGAGAGATGGAGAGTGAGTTAGTGAGAGTAGGAATGAATGAATGACGAATGAGAGAGAGAGAGAGAGAGAGAGAGAGAGAGAGTGAGTGAGTGAGAGTAAGCGGATGGCGGGAAAGAGGGAGGGAGTGAGAGATGGTGGGAGAGATGGAGAGTGAGTGAGTGAGAGTAAGAAAGAATGAATGACGAATGAGAGAGAGATGTATAATAAGCTATGCCTGTTCATTAAATAAATAAATGCGTGACAGCGGTGTCAAGATCACGCAAAGTGGTGACGTTGCCTATGAGGGCGTTCGTGTTGAGTTTTGAGTCTCTGTGTGCGTCCATTTGGATAACCATAACGTCGTTTGTTTTTGTTTACTTGTCAGTTGTCTAGGATTTTCCTTTTTTTCTTTTTGGTGGTGTCAAGTTTTGATGTCTCCGTTGCCGAAAGGTGAAGTCCGCCTGTATTTCGTCCTTTGGTCATGTTGCTTCCTCTACGCCATGCTCAAGGTGCACGAGGGTGGAAACCTGTTGAAAAGCGCCATGTACTCCGGCGATTTTTCACCCGGTTGGCCAATTTTCCAGAGGGAAAAAGACGTTTCAGATTTCGAGTGGTTCCTGTGGACGGGGCTTTGTTTTAAGCTCCTCCCTTGGTTTGGCCTGCACTTGTTTTTATGCGAACTTATGAGGCGGATCGACAGCGAAGCCCTTCCCATCCTACATTTCACACTGACCATTTCTTTCGTCTCATTCTCTTTCCCGCTTCTTTTCCCTTTGATTTTAATTTTCCAATTTTCAGTTTTTTTCGTCGTCATGATATTCGGGAGCAGGGCGTTTGTCTGGACTCTCGGAGTCACTTTTATTATCTTGATAAACCTCAATTATAACACCTTGGGCAGATTGCTCCAGTTGAGTGAAGAGGAGGTCTCATTGGTCGCAGTCGCATGGAGCTGGTTTCACATCAGATGCATAGATTTTGCTCTGTCTGAAGTCCATTCTTGCGAAAGCACCGTCAAAAAATTTCTATCTTTCCTCGGTTTTGTATTCTACTTGCCATGTTTCTTACTCGGCCCTCTCATCCCTTATAAGACATTTAAAGAAAATCTATTCTGTCCATATAAGCCATGGACTTTTGACAGGGGTGCCGTCTTGGCGTTTGATTTGTTCCGAGTGCTCGTCTGGTACGTTGTTTACGAAGCGGGCTCTCATTTCTTTTACTGCCATGCGATGCATTACCACATCGATGAGTTGGTCAGGCTGGGGTTGTGGACGGTCGGCGGCGTCGGGCTGTGCATGTCTCAGTTTTTCTTTATTAAGTATGTCGTCTTGTACGGGTTTTCGATTGCGATAGCCAAAGCGGAACGATACGACGCCCCTCCTACGCCTAGGTGCGTTAACAGGATCTATTTATATTCCGACATGTGGAGGCATTTTGACAGGGGATTCTATTTGTTCATGTTCAGTTCAATTTATCGGCCTGTTTGCGGCCGAGATGTCACGAAGCTGAGCCTGAGGCTGTTTGCCTCTTTTCTATGCTTTTGTTTCGTCTTTTTATGGCATGGAATCAACAAAACGATATTCATATGGTCTGTACTTAACTTTGTCGGTGTCGCTCTTGAAGCCGTCGGACGAATCGCTGCCAAGACGCGGGCCTACGGACGTTTTGAATCGTCGATTGACCCGAGGAACATGAGACGGCTCAAAGCGGTGGTGTGCACGCCCCTCTGGATTATGGCTGTCGTATCGAATTTCGTCTTTTTCGGTGGACACGAACTAGGACAGGTGTACATCGAGCAAGTTGTGGGTGGTGATTTTAAAGTATTGTTTTCGCTCTTTTCAATGGGATACTTTATGTGCCAAGTGTCGATGGAGGCATCTTTATACAAAAAAGATTGTATTAAAAATGTTAATGAACAATTATGACTTGAAATGAGATATCTTTTGTTTGACTTAAAAAATCATTATACCTGGATCAAAGAGAAATCATAAATTATTATTCTTAATCCACTGTCTTAGAATACTTAATAATAAAATTGTATAGGCATTTAATATGTGATTTAGTTGTAATAAGCTCATGACATTGTAAGCACCCAAAGCATTATTTGAAATTTTGTCAATTAAATTATATAATACTTCAAATATTATGGGCTAACATATTTATTTTCATAGATTCATTCTACATTTCTAAGCCGCATAACTTTTCCAGTTCAGAGAAAAAAAATCTGAAAATTTTTATTTTACTAAAATACAAATGAGTTATTTATTAAATATGTTAATTTAAACTAATTTACTAGCTAAGAAACATTGAAAAGCATCTCAGAATGTGATGAAAGTGTGTGACAATAATTATAGATGTAAATTTTTATAAATGGACTCCAAAATTGAGTGTATTTCATGTCATTTAGGTTTAATTGTTAAGGTTAGATGTTATCTCTGCTCAAAACTGTGTTAAATTATTATTTTGAATTAATTTATGTGATTTATTAATAAATTATGTGATATTTTCCTATTTGCAATTCTTCATTTCAACATTCTTCAACCATCCAATTTATTATCCTTAGATAAAAAGATCACTTTTTGGTTTGCCTGGTCTAGACTGATGGTTGCCAAAACAGGTAAAATAGAAATTTAAAAATAGTTATATTTTATTATGAAGTCAGCGAGTTGATGAACCTGTACTACGGTCATTTCAGATCATCCTAGTCTTCCTTTCATACAAAGAGAAGTGACGAACACGAGGTGTCAGATGTAGTAAATTCATAGGCTAAAGAACCCCCATAACTAGCACACACATTAAACCAGCACTGGGGCCATCTGGATGAAGGAATTCTTAGTGATGGCTAACTAGAGATGGCACAAAGCCTAAACAACATTAATAACATCAAGACTTGTGAGTCTAGACAGACCGAGAGCTGTTAAAGAGATCATCCAAAGAACTGGAAAAAACAATGATCTACTACTTCTTAAAAGAGGATCCAGTCAATTGATTTAAACTAAGGTGCTAGGAAAAGTTTAAGCCAAAAGGCTGCAGGGCTTGGGGAACACCAACCCTTGCTTACTTGTCTCCTTGTCATTATCATCATCCTATCATCATTGTGGGTCATGAAAATCACACACACAAGCTGAAGATTGTGAAAAGCTGAAACATTTAAAATTTCATGATGTTTAAATTTGCAGTTTGGTAATTTTTGTCTATCAGATGTGTTTCAGCTTCACAAAAATGTGTTTTTTCTCTGTTTTATTGAATCACACACAAACCGATGATAGCGTTAAGCCGTCCCTGACATGTGAAAACATCGAGAATAGGCAGACCAAAATTAAATTGAAACAACCAAGCTCTCACCCTGATGACCTAATGAAAATGTGTTTAAAAAAAAATATAGTTTCGTTTGGTTTGGTGACCATCATTGTAGGCTAGTCAGACCAAAAGTGATCAGGAATAACCAGAGCTAGAGATCAACTTTAAGAAATATCACCATTTTTAAATTCATAGTTTCGTCTGTTTTGGTCTTCTTGCTATCGTTAGTGGACTTTTTTCTGTGTCTTTGAATAATGCATAAATCACTGATGAAAGCCTTACCATGAAAAAAGAAAGAGAGGGTCAGTGAGTGATTGGTAAAAAAGAAAGAGAGAGTGGAAGAGGGGGTCAGTGAGTGATTGGTAAAAAAAGAAAGAGAGAGTGGAAGAGGGGGTCAGTGAGTGATTGGTAAAAAAGAAAGAGAGAGTGAGAGTAAGTGGTAAAAACAAAAGAAAGAGAGAGAGTGAGAGAGAGGTCCTCTATTGGTAAAAAAACCTATGCATGCTTAGATTTCTACTGGGAGAGGAAAAGGCAAGGGATTAAGGATCTGAATAAAGCTTTGGAATCTGATAAAAACGACTTATGCTGTCACCCACTTAGATGACAAGCAAGTGGTAATAATAATTACAAATCGTAAATGGAAATATATTGGATTGTCATCAGAGGTTTGCTGTGCTGGAAGCTCTGCCTTCCCAATGTCAAAGGGGCCGAAATGGAGAAGAATGAATGAAGAACTAATAATATAGAGAAGGTGTGTGTTAGACGATGGTGCGAGATTCCCAAAGGTATATCCATAAGTTTTAATAAAAAGCTCTAGACAATCACGGAGATGGCAAAATAGACCCAATATTGGTCATAAGGTCAACTCCTTTTAACCTCTAACCTCCAGTGTTATTGGAAAGGTTGTAGTCATTGAAGTCACGATAGATCAAGTGGTTAGAGCAGCGGTGTATTGAGCCAAAGGCCATGAGTTTGAATCTCTCTCGTGACACCAACTTTTTCATCTCAACCTTTAGATAAAAGTTTAATTACTTGAAATAATTAAATATGGTCAATTCTGACCGCTAAATATACAAGGGTTATTCTATTCTTTTACTCGATTGTATTATTTATTTCTATTTGTCTTATTAGACTGTGGCATTGTATATTTGATTGGAAATTCAAGTATATTATAAATTACGCAGGGTGGGCGACCAAGACCCGAGGGTTAAATGCCTGGGTAGACTCGTACCCCATAAATTCAAGTAACTTTTGTCAATGTGTTGTTGCATTTAATTAAATTTGTAGGAACAAACTAATATCCAATAACTCTCATCTTCCTCGCAGTACACATTTTATTCTGATCTTCTTGGTATTCGTGTTTTTCATATGTCCAAGTGAAGGATGGGTATTGGAGATACTTTTTTCAAAAGAATTTAATAAATATATTAAATGGCATAAACTAGTTCATCTTATCATCAAAAAGTCATAATTGGAATGTTTGGTACCAACTTGTTTGCTTCAACTACGAGAAAACATTAATTGAACGTTTATATTTTTATTGTAACAGTTATATTGTTACTGCAATAAATTGACTGTTATTCTATTTTATATTGTTTGTTAAGTGTAAACGGACTTTTTTTTTTGCACTTTTTAATTTAAGCTTAGCATAAATTAAAATTACCATAGAGACAAAATTAGACAATTTGCCAACAGCAGTATCTGAGTAAAAACATTCGACATGTTTGATACTTGAAAAAATTACGGCATTCGCATTCATACTGAGTTTTTTGTCGGTTTTACATAGTAACTGTTTTGAATTTGTGTCAGTTGATATCAAAAATTGTATAAAAAACTATGCTATATGTTCAATGATAAGTAAAAATAGCAAACTATTGCCAAAATGATCTTTTTTTCTCCAATAAGAAAGGAAACATATAGACAATAGGTTGTATAAATGTGTTCCATTTATATTAGCAACTAAATTTTAATTATATTAAAAAGTAGCAGAGTAAGGGATTGGGAAGAATGTACAAAACTCTATTCAAATTTGAGTTTTAAGAACATTATTTTTAAAACATTTTTTTCATTTAAGTGTTCATTGCTTTATAATTATTATTTTTATAAAACATATATGGTACTCAACAAAAATATCTAGTTTAAAAATTTATAGAGCAGTAGAATTGGCTGAAACAATTTGCAAGCCATTTTTTTAATCTACTTTCCTAGCTTAATTTAGAAAATGTACAAAAAATTAGAAAATTGTACAAAATCCATAGAAAACAGGAGTGGAGTAGAAAATCACTTAATCATACAAAATATTAAATCTAAAATACTATAATTAATTCTTCATACGATAGATCTATGTTTTAGCTCACAGAATTGATAAACACTACTTGATATAAAGTTGAACAAGTCCTTTTATAAATTTGAGTTAACAGGAATTATATACTACACAATGAGTGTATAATTGCCCTCGTAAAAGATGTAAATCTACATTAGAAAAAAATGTCAAAATTGACATCAGTCAATTCCCCCCCTCCCACCAAAAAAATTTTTTTTGATCGATCAGTAAAAATTTGAACATTTTGCATGTAAAAAGAGAAAAACAGTAATTTATCAAGCGAATATATAATAAACATTACAAAAAGTAAATTAAAAAGCCACTTTCAGGGCGTTTGTGACAGATTTAAAAAACCCAAGGTATTTTTCTTCTATATTAACAAATTTATTCCATAGGAACTGTTATTTTACGCTTGAAAACCTAAGCATCTTTGTAAAAAAAAAACAAATAAATAAATAAAAAATTAAAAAAAGGAATATTTATTTGTTAAAAAGATATTCGCTTATTTTTATTTGAGAGTCTATTAATGAAATCTGATGATTAAATAAGACTAAATAACAGCGTGCGAAAAAAAAGATAAAATCTAATTTCTATCTTTTTTCCCCTCACACCTCAGTTTTAAAAAAAATTTAAAATTCAAAAAATTTACAAGAAATATCTGGAAAACGCAATAATGACCAATTGTTTAAATATCGCTATTAAAGTATACTATATATATATCATAAAGTAACGATTATGATATTATTTTATACCTAAAATGTTGCTAATATAAATTGTGCTAGTCTTTCTACCTTGAACATTTTCTTTAAAAAAAAGGTCCACACAACATCAAAATTGAATTATTTCAAATATAAATTTCTATTCCAATCTATGAAAATAAAATCTGTTGAAAATCTGTCTTTAAAAAAATCAATGTGTATTTATATAATCCATGTTATAATTATAAAACCAAATTTAAAAAAGGATATGTATAACTAGTAATATACTCCCAATAATTCAAAAAGTTTTTTTTCTCTTTTATTAACTTAGTTCATCAAAAAGTGAAATATTTTATAGAATATATTCTACAGTAAAACACAGAATACACAGACTAAAATTTTCTTTTTTTTAATGATCTATAATGAAGTGGATGATACTAAATTCTATTTATTTTTTTGTTAAAGAACTAATATTTTTTAATGACTTATTTACAAGCCAGTAACAGTGCAAGATCTCACAAAAAAAATTCTAGCAGACAAAGGGCAACTATATATACATAAGAATTATTTTTAAATTCTATTTTAAAATTCTTAACATCTAAAAAATGTCCAATAGTAGAATTCTAATACAAATTATCATACAATTATTTTTTTTTTATTAAAATCTTAATGGAAAGAAGATTTAATTGAGGAAAAATTGACATTAGAAAGCTGTCTGCTAGAAACATTGCCCCAGCCTTAATTTACACTTGGAATCACACTTTAACTCCTATACAGTTTATTTTACAAATATGACTTTTAATTACCTTCATTAATAAAAATTAAGGATAGGAAACATCACTGGTTGGTTCATATCTTTAAAAAAAATGGCTATATATGTGATGCACCTGTTTTTTTAGGCCACATACAAGGTTAAAAAAATAAATTAAAAAAAATTATATTTTCAATAATCAGATACATATTTCCCAATTATATATCTGTAAATATAATAAACAAATTTATTAGCTTATCATAGCAAAATTGTTGTAATGACTTAGTATCATGCAAAGTTATCAGTTTGACACACATCGGTTATTAGTTCCAAATAAATAATGTACTAAAATTATAAAAAAGTACAAAATTTCAATTATTTTACATATGAGTTAAGTGAATATAGAACTGTCTTGACTACATTAATTATTGAATAATCGTATATAATAAATTATTTGGGGAGTAAAACATTTTTTATTTTTACTTCGATCACAATATATTAACAAGGTAATAAAATACTCCTAAGCTCCACATCATAATCGTGCAATTTTAAAATGTCATAGGGTGTTATAAGTCGCTGATAACTTGCATATTGTCGCTATCTCTCTTGTTATATATCATTTCTTGTTTATTCAACATAGAAAATATGTTGTATTTTTTATGATCTTTTCTCTTTGGTACATTGAGAGATCAAGTGCAAAGTTTCATTATTTGTGCAATATTTTTTAAATTTCATTTTAAAAATGTCACCACTATGAAGGCATCTCAAAATTTGTCTTCATTTTTTTTTTTTTTTTTGTGAATGTGCCAGAGTGAGAATGGTTTTACCATAAATTTTTGTTTTGCTAGAAATATATTTTAATTACCTTATAAAATAGAAGCTACTAATTTTTTTTCTAATTTTTATTGTTTCTTTTTGAAACATGAGGAATTTCTCCTTGGAGGGGAATACCACCTTCAGCATACACTACTATACATCTTTGATTATTAAATAGGAATTGCGTTAATCATGTAATTATAGTGAAAAGCACTTTGAATAGGTGGAACAACATTTACAATATAATGTAAAATGTGAGTAACTACAAGAATTTATTCTATTTTATCTTCATTACATTCCAATTTTTTTTTTCTGTGCAAACACATGCACAATGCCCCTGGTATTAATTTGACTCGCACACGTTAAAAAGCTAAAACCTCACACTTGCAGGGTCACAAACACAATACATTAATAACACATAGCACTATGTAGATAAAATAAAATTTCAAACTTGTAGATTAAAAAACATGAGACTAGTTTTTGAACTGTTGACTTAAAGTACTAAGTTTTACAAAATGTGTACTATGTCATTTAGTCTGAATGTGACTGACTCAAAAAAAAGAAGAATACACAATGTATCCCTTTTTTCTAAAAAATAAATAATTAATTGGTAACATTCTGTTGAATTTAATCACTAATAAGACTTAAATAGAGGTTTATATTAATTTATACTTAACAAAGAAGCATTGCACATAAACAACACTAACAATTACATATAATAGTTCTTTCAAAATCTCAAATAAATTTATTTCAAAAATAAAAATATTATCAACAATATAATATTTATAAAAATAAATATAAGAAGGAGTCAAACCTCATTGTAGAACAATCTGCCTAATCAGATGAATTTATAAAACAACACATCTTATTTAAATATCAAAAGCTAACAATATATCACTGATTTTTTTTTAAAGATAAAAAACTTGAAGAGACTATGAAACTGACTGCTGAAAAGAGTCTTTTACATTTTCTCACGATTCCTAATAAAAACCGATATTTCTTGTAGAAATTGATCCCAATGCAATTTATATTGACAAATAATATAAAAAAATACCAAAAAAAATGTACAAATAATATTTACAAAAATGAAACAGATGAGATACAGTGAAACATGGTCTCCTTTCCAATTTCTTCTTTTTTACTTTTTTTTTTAAATTAAACTTTTCTAAAAAATAAATCATGTTAAAAATACACTCATTTTCTAATAAATTTCACAAAACAAAAAAAAATATAAAATACTTTCAGTGAAAAACATAAGAAAGTTTTACAAACTTCAAAAACAACAATTTTAAACAATAATATAATCTTGTAAACCAAAAAAATAACAATTCTAAGCATTACAAAATATAGCGGCAATTTGCAGAAATTTGGGTAAACTTATATATATAAAAAAATGCAAGTGTCTTGTTATGAAAGGTTACACACTGAAATTTTTGAAACAATTTCCATCTACAAGAATAAAACTAATACATTCATTTAAAAAAAAAAAAAAAAAAAAAAATTGAAGGTATTAATACTTATTTTTGAACTACACGGTTTTTAGTATATTATTTATACAACAACTATTTACACCTAATGGGATACAAAAAAGGTTTAAAGTAGTTTTATAAAGATTATTATACAAATATGCAATAGTTGGAATTTATTCACACAAATTTTTCTCTCTATATATTTTTCCAGCGAGGAATACACCAAACATACATGTTATTAGACACACATCGCACATACATACTAGTGTCCATCGTGTAATACCCTGAAGAAATATTTCAAAAATATTTTAATGTGTAAAACCATGTAAAGGCATACTCATTAAAAACGTGTTGTTTCACCCCTACCTTGATAATGCTGTAAGATAGTTTTTAATAAAATTGTACATTTTTTGTTAGTGAATATGGTTTAAATTTATAACTAGAATGAAAGAATCATATTCATTTCCTAAATTCTCAATTTTTCTAAATTCAATTTTAACCAAGCTGTCGAGAGACCCTTCTTTTATAAGCTTATTTCAGGCAATTTACAAAATGATTTTTCTCTTCTAGAGTTATTAAGTATTAAATTTAATCTATAAGATTGTGAACGTGTTTTTGTAATAAAATGTGCAGAAGTGAAGAAAAATGATCAAATTTAAGAAAAACTGCAATGATATTTGATGCAACTTTGATATTGTACCGCAAATTTTTAAATTTAAATTTTTAATTGTTTGTCAACTTGTTACAAAAATCAAACATTCTTTTGATATCAAAGAAAAAGAAAACAAACATGTGAATATGGTGAACGTGGTTTCTTTTCATCAAATCACCGATTTCAGATCTATATAAAGAATTGTAATTAACTTGCTATTTAATTTGGATGTTTCTTTAAATTAATTAATTGTTTTTTCACATTGCAGCAACAATTTTTTTCTCTCTTTCTGAACATTTTACTTTTTTCTTAAGTTTCTTGGATTAATTTGTTAATTCACTCATTATTTAGTAAAACTCAATTACTTCTTATTGTAAAAAAATAAAATAAAAAATAACAGAATCCGATTAATATAATTATCAAAATGTATTTTCTTAAAAAAACAAAAAACAAAAAAACCAACGTAATGATGAGCAAAATGCTGTAAGTTTCACCAGTTAATGAGTGCTCCATTAAAAAATAAGTTTTCCATGCATACGTAAAAGTTAGTATACACAGTTTGTTTACAAATTTTTCCATGGTAACTGTAAATAATTGTAGATCTCATATTGTAAACCTAGCGTTCTAAGTTACAGAATATGATCACAATAATAAAAAATTTATTTATTTAAAAATTTTCCTTTAATCCCTAGAATGTTTTTCTTCTTTAAATGAAAGGAACTTGACTTAATAAACATATACATGTAACACGTATTCAATAATATACAATTATATAAAATTAAATACACAGAAAGTGTATACATATGTACTTGTGTTACACTAGAGAGGTGCTCTGTTATACTATAAAACACAAACCTTAATTAGCTTTTAGCATAATTACACTAATAGCAACCATTAAAATAGTGTACTTAATCTAAAGGATCACCTACTAATTAGCTAAAACGTTTGGTGGCACCTACAGACACTGTTGTTAACACCAACGAAACGGAAGGGCTCTCGGGCGATCTGCGCCTTCCTTTACCAGAGGCTTATGGAATTCTCTTCCTGGTCTTGAATGAATTGTTGCCCAGCACTGTTCACAATAATACTGAAAAAAAAGTGAATAAATTGGGACACAAATACAATTTTTTTAAATAAAAATTAAATAACATTTCATCATTTCTGTTAGTTAAATACCGTATAGCAATTTATGTTATACATACTTGAAGGCATGTTACGTTTGCACAGAAGAAAGGTGCAAACTTTCCTCCACATCTTTGTCCTTGACATTCATCACACATTTGGTCATCTAGCACGTATGGTTTGACTTCAACCTAAAATATATTTTTGTTAGAGTGTGTCGTTATGCACAGAGAACTTTTGTAAAGCTTTTTTTAAGTCAAATTAACCCTTTTTTTAACTTCAAATTAATCCTTTGCATTAATAAAAAACATAGGAGATGGTATGAAATGTAAGCATTTAAAGTAAATTACTGTACATTTGATCTTTTTAAAATATAAAATAATAGGGCTCTTGCAAGATAATTTGAAAATTAATTATTAATTATTATTAAAACTTCAAATTAGACGTTATTTAAGATTAAATAAAAAAACAAATAAATGGTTCTTCTATTAATTCGATAGATTTTTAAAATATAAAATAATCAATCTATAAATAAAATAATTATTTTATATTTTTAAAAATCTTGAATTAATAGAAGAAGCATTTGTTTTTACATTTAACTTCATATAACGTTTAATTTTAATTGTAATTAAGTTTTGTGCAATATTTTTGATAAGAACTCATATTTTTAAAAAATCTCCAAATTAAAAGAAACATCCTTTATTTTTATATTTAACCTGATTAATTTTGTGTAACTTTACTACATTACAACTAAATACATCAAATTATATTTAACATAAAAACCCATTTCATATTTTTTAAATATTTTCAAGTTATAAGAAGAATCCTTTGAAAAAAGAAGTTTTTAATGCTTTAAAGAAAGGGTTAACTTGTAAAGGATTAATTTGTGATTTAAAAAAGGCTAATTTGAAGTTTAAAAGGGTTACTTGAAAATTAAAAAAAAGGTTAATTTGAAGGGGAAAGGTTAATTTGAAGGGGAAAGGGTTATTTGAAATAGGTTAGTTATAATTTAAAAATTAAAAAAAAGGTAATTTGAAGGGGGAAGGTTTACTTGAAATAGGTTAGTTAGAAACTAAAAAGAGTAAATTAAAAATTAAAAAAAGGTTAATTTCAAGTTAAAAAGGGTTAATTTGATAGACAAAAGCTATACATATACACTATTATGATAGTAAGATTAGAAAATAGTTTAATAATACATTAACTTATAGTTAACAGTAAGGTAAATAAACTAGGCCCTACATTTTAATTAATTAATTTTTTAAAATATATTGTGTAACATGGTAGCATTAAATAGAATCTATTGGAAATAAGCCACGATTTTACTGATTTTTAGATAGTAAGGCATTTCTTTTCAGCAGCATCGATTGGCAGTTATTAGAATAGTTAAATCAATCTTTAAAGAAGGTTTATTTTTAAAAAGGTCATTTTTGGAATCATATTTCCATTTTATGCCAATAATGAACAGTGAGACGTCTTAATTTCTTAATTTTAAAAATTTCATACATAGTAAATGTATTTACTCTTTTGTCAATGTCACCGTGTTGCAGCTGTACAAATCTTGCACTTATAGCAGCTATGTAGCTTTGTTGGTTACTAAAAGCCACTCTTCCCGCACCCTTGGGGTATTTCAATTCCGGATCCGTGTCGATTCCTGCATAGCAAACTCCGCCGTAAAGTCTATCCATGATCATGGCCAACTCAACTGAAATAAAGGGTTTTTATATTAATTAAATTATTTATTAAAATAATATAGTATTGATTCTTACTAGCTTTTAATGGCCTTGGCACACCTCCTACAAACACTGTCTTTCTTGGGTCTAACGGCATGGATGCATCGAGTACAAAATCGGCATCTGACAGTCTCCATGGTCTGATCTGTACCGGTTTATCTTTGATTGTAGGAGACGATACACAGAGATATAATTTGTCCTCATCTTGAATGCAAGCGTCGATCAGTTGTTGAACTGAACTCTCGTCCTTAAAATTGACATAGATGAAAACGCACAAAATTGGTAAATAAATACAAATTTAACATTTAAACACTAATAGAAATGAATAAAAACAAACATACTTTTTCATCTTACCTGAAATAGAAGAAATGCATAACCTTTAGGAGGAAAGTAAGATTTGCTTTCAGCTTTGTGCGGCCAATCGACTACAAGTGGTCCAAACCTTCTAAAGCTAGCTGTTATTTCATCTGGAAGAAAATTATTAGTCAAAAATTTCTGATCTTTTATTCAAATTTTGATTAGTACCTTCATCTATATCTGGTGGAAGGCCTCCGACGAACACTTTGCGAGAATACCTTTCGCCTGTCTCTGAGCCTTGACTATGAGGGGAAGATCGTGACGGTGATGATAATGATGGCGCCTGATGTACTTCGACCATTTGTCCATTTTGTTCCTCCATCAGTCCACTCTGATCCTCAAGACCCGGAAAATATGGGCTTTTTCCTGTTCAAATAAATATGTTTACTTTATTACTAAGTAGTCAAAATACAGACTGTCATGAATTTTTTAAAAAATCTTTTAACATCTTGCTTTAGCCATATCAGTTTTATATTTTTGCCCCAATTAGAGTAAACCTTTATAGCATTTAATTAATACTATCAGAATAAATATTCATTTTCAAAAAAATAATTATATATGTTTTTAAAAAGGTTTGCAGGCAAGGCAGCTGAAGGCCGAGACAATTCAGTTAATTAAATTTAACTATTAATGATTTTGGGAATAGAGCTTAGTATTAACCAGATGAAAGATTTTCAAAAGGTAATAGTCAGTTTTGGTGCAATATACCCTGTCTAAATTTGAAAATCCTAATATATCCTCTCTAGATGAAGAAAGTCAATTTTTCAAGAAGGACTAATTTTGTTTCAAAATTTTCTTCTACGGATAATTTTAACACTTTTTCACCATCACTCAAATTCATTAATGTTAACTTAATAGCAATATGCCAAAGGAATTTTGTTAAAAAATAAGCAAGTCTTATAACATTAAATTGTGGGGTTTCTTCATTGGGTTTGTGGGTTGGTGAACCTTAATATTTTTAACAAGTTGTTTGCCATTGCTTATGTTGTTTTGTAAAGTAGATGATGATGATGATGATGATACTAGGAAGTGGGGGTTTGTTATTCCCCAAGTACTGCAGCATTTTGGCTTATTGTACTTTTCCTAGTTTTTATATCAGATCAGCTGACTTAACTATTCTTTAAAAAAGTATTGTCATTGCTGCAGCTTTTATCATTGGGTCATCTTGGCCCCCTAGGTCTCCATCCAGCAAGATATATTCGTGAGTAGGATTTTGTACGTTGTTTGTTGTTCATTCGGAAAGGGTTAATCTTCTATCTCTAGGTCTATTACCACCTCTTGTAAGATTGTGAGATTTCTCCATGTTGTCTGCAGCGTAGTTGTAGATGATTATTCAGGTGTATTATATGCTGCGCCCTTTAAGAGCTCTGGTATACCCCAAAAGCATATAGCACACTGGTGAGTCCTAGTTAATTAAGGAATGTAGTTATTAGGCCTGGTTTCAGTGGTTGAATTTCTTCTAAAATTACATTGTACATCACAGTGCTCTTCCTCTTGTGGGCAAGTATAGCACCACAGTTTGTTCATTCCTCTGATTCTTTGCGGATCTGCATGTGCCGTATTGGGTTATGCCAATCTTCTTCAGATGACCATTCAGTGTCCTGTTAGGATTCGCAGTTTTTTCCTGCTTCCCTTGATACATTCTGTTACTTCTTTCCTTCCAAAATTTGTTAGGAGGTTCTTGGATTGTTTATGTCCAATGAGTGAGTTTCATTATTCCCTTATTGTCTTTTTATCCTTGTGTCTGAGGTACTCATTCATAGTGTGGGCTACTATGCCACAGAATGGTTACAGTGTGCAGTGTGATGGATTTTAACTTTTTTTGAAGTCAAGTGTCATTGCTGGCGCTGTTTTATGTTGTAGAGGTTGATGATGAGGATCTTAGATTGTGACGGTCTGTTATTTTGCAGCATTTTGGCTTACTGTACTGTTCCTTGTTTCTTAGTTCAGTTCAACTGACTTGATTCTTTTTTCAAAAAGGACTGTGCTGCATTTTTTTTACGTTTGGGAAATTGTTTTTTTAATTATGTTGGTGGCTAGTGTTTTGTATGTTGTTTGTTGTTCCATAAGTAAAAGTTTATCAGCATCTTTACGTTACTGTTTCTTATAAGACTGTGAGATTTTTTCCATGTTGTATGAGGGGGTGATGGACGTAAATTTTTTAATAATTTGTTCATCGTTGCTTGTATGTTTGTGTATAGGAATGTACTTTTCCTAGTTCTTTAGTTCAGCTCAACTGCCTTGATTCTCCTTTCAAAAAGAACTTACTGCTGTAATTTTGTTCCCAGGACATCATGATACCCTAGGTTTGCCTCTGTTGAGTAGTTCACATTCAAAGAGGGTGCCAGTTTCTTGCAACACTTTTTCTTTGTCATTTTATGTTTGGGTATTTTTAAAAATTATGTTGGTGGTTGTTGTTCCTTAGATAAAGGTTTTTCTGCCATCCGTTACCGTCACTTATAAGATTGTGAGATTTCTTCATGTTGTCTTTAGGGTGACGAACGTTAAATTTGGTCCGTTACTGATAATTTTGGTCTGACCCTTGCTGGAGTGTTATGTACGACGAATTTCAGCATTTCGCCATAATCAGTGTGTCTTTGGTAAGGTAGATTTCAAAAAGATTTTAATTTTAGACAGGTTTTGTCAAGACTACAGCAGGAAAATTAATTTTTACAGCTAGTTTTTTCCTTTGGTAAATGCAGGAGGTTCATGTGTAGGTTGGGTGTTGTCATTTTCTTGGCTTAGGTGGGAGGGTTTCTATTTTCGAACGTCTGGCCCAACGCCCCCGTTTTGTTCAACTCCCTCCTGAAATAATTTCTAACTCTAGTATTCTTTAGAATATGGCGTAGGAAAAAATTGGGTAAAAAACAGGGCTGGAGTTCATTGTTCTTCACGCACAATCAAACAATCAACACGTAAAACTATGATGTGAGTCAGGGAGGAAAGAAAATCGGTAAAGAGTCACTCAGAACCCAAAGGCAATTAGAAAGGCTAAAATGAAACAGGGCCTGCAATTAAATCGATCAAAAGATCAAACCGTTGAAAAAAAAGACTACAAAAAATGAACTGGAAATGCAAGTAGAAAGTTGTTGGTCAGTACGTTTCAGAAGGACGCCTTTTTGAAGTAATGGTCTATCACGGATCACGTCATGTTTTATCGACTATCGAAAAGGTCGAAATTTGTTTATACAGAGGATAAAGACATCAGAGAATTCAGTCAGAATCTTCTGACGGTTTAATAAGGTCAAGTTTTCGAATTGTTTCTTTTATTCTATTTTTCAAACTTATTGCTGCATTGTTAATGATGATGATGATGAGGATACAAGGAAGTTAGGATTTGCTGTTGCCAACGAAGTGCAGCCCTCTGGTTAATTGTACTAATCCTAGTTCCTTAGTTCAGTTCAATTGACAAGACGTTATTTTAAGAAGTAGAAGGTCATTGTCTTCTTACTGCAATATCTTTCTCCCGGGAGATCATGGCATTTCTACACCTTGTGAAGGATTAGTGTTGATGATGATGATGAGGATATTAAAAACCGGAAGTTTGGTACTCAACAAGTACTGCAGCTTTCTGGCTCCCCAGTTCAGTTCAGACGACTCGATCGTTCTTATATGAAGTAAAAGAGCATTGACTTTATGCTGCTAGTACTTTTTACGAGACATCTTGGTATTTGTACACTTTTTTAAGGATTAGTATTGATGAAGAGGATACTAGGCAGCAGGGGTTTGGTATTCACTAAGTACTGCAGCCTTCTGGTTAATTGTACTTTTCCTAGTTTTTTAGTTCAGTTCAATTGACTCGATCGTTATTTTAAGAAGTAGAAGGCCATTGTCTTTTTGCTGCAATTTCTTTTTCTCAGGACATATTGATACTATAGGTTATGGCAAAAAATGATATGGATGGCAGCAATTATTTCCTCCTCAATGCATAAATAAATTGGTTGAATATAAACATGTTGTTCTGAGATGCTCGTGTATAACATACCTTGTCTAGCCTTGTGAAGAATTAGTGTTGATGATAATGATGATGCTAGAATAGTTTGATATCCACCAAATACTGCAGCCTTTTGGTTTTCTCTACTTTTATTAATTCCATGGTTCACCTTAGTTCTAGTTTTAGAAGTACGTTATCTCTTTGCTGGAATTGTTTCTCCTAGGTCTTCTAAGTACCCTAGGTTAGGTCTCCATGAAGCAGTTCACATACGAAAATAATATGGATGCCAGTTTTTTCCTTCTCAACACATCTATAAATGAGGTTTTGTATATTTTTTTAAGGTGCAAGTAAGCGGCATAGAGCCCTTCACTCCCACTAGCTGTAATTTTTGCCAGTTTTAGCGAGGATTCTTTAACCAATGAGTCTACTTTCTCTGGCACCAGTAGAGTTCGTCCATTAATTTTGCTGTATATGAACCCTGAAACGGATGACCTTATGGCTTGTTTTCGTGAGTTTCTGAGCCTGGTGGTTTCGCAGATCTTCCTCTTGCCAGTCTGCTTGTTCATTACCCAAAAATTCTTTGTGCTCTGGCACCCAAAGTTTTGTTAGGTTATGTTTAACCATGTTTTGGATGCTATTACAGATGATCTGGATACTAGGAAGTGGGTTATGTTATTCCCTAAGCACTGACTTCTGGGTTATCACGCTTCTTCCTTTTTTTTTTTTTTTTTAATGGCTATTGCTGCAGTTCTTTTCCCCCGGATCGTTTTGGTAGAACCCTAGGTTCTATTGAGCAGTTCGCATTCTGAGCAGGTTCTATGGCACAAATATTGATTAGAATGAAATTTAGCTTGAAACACCGAGGTCTTCTTCTCCATTCGCATTCCATATCTTATAATTGTTTATAATTATTCTGGCTGTGTGCAAACAAAGATGGATGATGATCTGGATACTAGGAATTGGGCTTTGTTATTCCCTAAGGACTGACTTCTGGGTTATCACACTTCTTCCTTTTTTGCAAAAATGGCTATTGCTGCAGTTCTTTTCCCCCGGATCCTCTTGGTAGAACCCTAGGTTCTATTGAGCAGTTCGCATTCAATGATGATATGGACGCCAGTTTCTTCTTTCTCGTTGTATAAACTACTCTCTGAATATTACCATGTTGTGTAGGTGTTTTCTCAAATGCCACTGACCGCTATATATTCCTACTGCTCCCCTGAGTTATACCCTGTCTAGCTGTAGTGTTTGCTAGTTTGGACATTCTTTAACCATGAATTTACTATGTTTGGCACTGCCCAAAAGTTCCATCATTTCTCCTTTTTGTTTTGCATGGACAAAATCTGATGTGGAGGAGTCTATGTTGGATCCATCTCAGTTGTAGATTCTCAGCTTATAGTCGGTCTTGCAGATCTTTGGTTAGTCTGTAGGTTCA